GGCATTACTAGTTGCTATTTTAAAAATGCACAAATACGAGAGTTCATGCATTTTTGAGTTGCTATTGTTTTATGCAATTTAGGGGTTAAACCTACGCCTCAGCGGTGGATTACTTAAATATGATGAAAACTTCAAAATCAATCTCATTTATTCGTACCATAGTTGTTGAGCACAGAATAAGAGCGACAAGTGAAAAGGTTATCGTGCATATATTTAAAAATTTTTTTTTTGGGATTGAAAAATAAATCATATCGCAACAGGGGAAAAATTAATTATTTTTGATTTAAATTATTGTTTGATAAGAATATCAAATGATCCTGTTGACATTTATAGAACCAAAACAAATATAAACATTTCCATCAGAAAATCATGAATTAAATAGAAATCAAAAAGTGCATTTAACTTTTTAGATTTCAGAAAATGCTTTTAAAAGAAAATTTCAATGCAATAAAAATAAAAATAAAAGTGATATTAAATTAAAATCAACTATAAAATAATGCAATATATGTAAACTACAAGTATGTACATATGTACATATGTACATATTTTTGTATGTAATATATAAAACACTATTAATTTTTAAAAACAATATACATAGAAGGAAGGAAGGCATACGTCTATGTTTGGGACATTAACGACTAATTTAATTCCTTCTCGCTTGCATAAAATCAAATTATACGCACAAGTGCAAAAGCTTACAAATATAAATATATAAAAATATTTATTGACCTAAATAAACACATACGCGAAAAAAATTCACCACACCACTTGTATCTATACACACCACAGCCCCCATCATTGCACATCACACAAATTACATGACAAACTGACAAACTGACAAACAGACTAACAGACAAACACTGCTCACTTACTACTCATACTAACCGCACATTTATGCACTACAACAAATTAGTTGATCATTTTAATAGACCATAGAAATAAAGAAATATTAACTATTGTATAAACATATGCATACGTACGTACATACGTATATGCAAATGTACATATAATGCATGTGATGATATATTTGATATACGCAAGGCATACTCGTATGTATGTACGCATAAAACACATGAAGCCGATGACAAAACAGCACAGAAGGTGGTGTTGCAAAAATTGTGGCATGACAATGAAGCTAGACAATAAAAAAAGAGCAATAAGAATGAAAAACAGAAACTAAAAAGTTTTATTAAAACAAAAAGAAAAACAAAAATACAAAAAAAAACAAAAAACAGAAAATTTAAATCTGTAAGGGAAATGAAAAAAAAGTTTTCAACACCAACGTGAACGGAAACGCATCGGGGCACACACACATGCTGTACTACTACTGCATATCACTCGGTATTGCAAAGGTGGAAGTAAAGGAGTGTGGCGCTGGAGACAAGCGCGGAAATAATGTTGCTTGCATTCTTAATACAATACATGACAGAAAAAAGAATTTGCTATAAAAGTCCAGAGAGTTTGAGGTGAGGACAGGTTTTAATAGTTTTTTCTCATTTTATATTTATACACTTTTCTTCATATATAAATATACTAAGAAGATTTCTAAATTGTGCTTTTATTTTTTATTAATCTGCTTTTAAATGTAAAATATACGTACGTACAAAGGTATACGTTCATTTATATTTAGTTTCAGTTTATTTTATATATATTAATATTTTTTAGATATATTTTATCTCTTCTTTAGGTCTATTTTATATTTAGTTAATTTTTTATTTATGTAATTTTTTTTTATATATTTTTTGTTTCTGTATAGGCTTTTACTTTTTTATATATGTATATATTTTTTTAATAGTACTTTACATTTTTTATTTACAACTTATTTCAACCGATATATTCTATATGTAATACACTTTTTATATTAATATTTATTATATTATTATAATTGATTAAACTTAGTTTTTTTTTTTTTTGTAATTATTGCCAGCATAATTATTTTAAATATACCAAAATCATTTCATTTCATTTATACAATTAAGACTGTATTAACCTAAATTATACAAAGAATAAACAAAAATTACTTTTATATTGAATAATAAATGCATTTTTAAATTTTTTTCATTTTTAAGGGTGAGATATTTTATTTTTAATTTTATTTTTTTTTATTTAATTATGAGTTTATTGACTTCTGTAATAATTTTCAATCGATTTTTAATAAAAAAGAATATTGCTTCCGAGATAAGAATAGATGTTTTTAAACAAATGAGTAAAATACGCGTGTAGGTGGTAAGTACATGAATCAAATACCCACAATTTCCGCTTTGTGTCTTATGATTAAGAAACTCATACACATATTTACTCCAAAATTGTGAATATAAAATTAAAAAAAAAATTTAAGATAAAGATATGAACAGTATGAATTATATTGTTTCTTTGGAAGCGTATACACATGGGCGCTAAGGTTTACTATGGACGATAATGCAAGGCCACCAGGCCAAACTGTTGCCAATCATATTTCGATTTTCCATATATTCTGCTATTCTGTTACTCCAAGTCTATTGTTGGCAATATATGTTAATAAAACTTAACTAATATTTAGTCAAGTTAAATACCATTTAAATTATTTTTAGTCATTATTTCTTTATTAATGTAGGAATCATTATTGGATATCATTTTATATTATATCATATTAACAGATTAAAAAAAGTCGTAAATAATAACACTCTTGAATATTATTAATTACTACCAAGAATCTACATATAATAGTTTATACACTGAACTAATTAATTAATGAATTCATGAATTAATAAAAATAGTAGCCAATGGTATTAACTTTAGAGTAACGTATATATGAGAATAATAAAATAATTATAATAGTTATTATTTACAGAGATGAATTTATTGTTACAAAATACCAACAAAAAAAACAAAATAAAATAAAATGAAAATCTCAATACTATACACAATCATTTTAGTAATTATTTTGATTAATAATTAATTTCAGCCTTAATTAAATTTTTTTGTACTGAAAATTTAAAAAAGGTGTCTACGTCTATGGCAAGAAATAGATAGAATTAATATATAATTAAACAAAGTTAATAAAAAAAGTGTTTCCTCTCAATTTGCTTTTATTAAAAACTCTATACATATGTTTAATATTATATAATTAAAGCCTATAGATGCAGTAATTTATATTCATATTATGCTATTAACTTTTTCTGTTTCCTGTTAAATCTTTGACGCACAAATGCAATTTATTATTTAATGATGAACAGGTATAGATATTCAGCTAGTTCTCAAAACGTTTAAGAAAGATATAAAACCGTCTTATATTATTTATTGTATCTTGCAATTCTATATTGTGTTATATTAAAATAATTATAAACATTATCTTCATAAAAGACATAACAGAATACTAATGATATAAAGAAACATTTAAAAACATATGCATTCCTAAGAATAAAATATAACAAAAATTTATAGTAATGAAAATAATAATAAAAATATTAACAAAAATTATTGTAACGTTCTTATTAAAATTAAAATTGAAAAAAATTTTGAAAATATTGAGAAAAATAATTACTTTTTTAATGACAATATTAACAAAATTAATTAAAAAAATAATTAAAAAATTAATTATAAAAAAAATTGTTTTAAAATTGTTAAATAAATTATTAAAAATATTAATTAAAATATTACTTATACAAAAAAAAAAGAAAAAGTAGTAAAATATATGCAATTAATGTTTGTAAATATTATGTAAAACAAAACAATTTATATGTAACAACTGAAAAGAATAATTAAACAAAAAAGTAAAAGACCAAAAATTATTATAAATAAATAGAAAATTAATTTAAAAAAAAAGTTCATTTAAGAAATAAATTAAATTAATAATTATTAGAAATGAAATTAACATTTATGTAAACCGAAATTTTAATTAAAATATTAATTATACTGAGACTTGTAATAAATATTATTATAATTAAATTTAAAAATATAATTTTGTATTAGTCTAAAGTTATTAAAAATAAAATTTTATGAAAGCCATAATTTAATTTAATTGAAAACTGTTTTGAAGAAATTTACAATTAAAATTAGAAAAAATAATCAACTAAATATTAAAAACTTAGAAAGTAATAAACAATATATTATATTAATTTCAATTTAATTATATAAGACAACATTTGGATATAGGAAGGACAAGTGTTTATATAAAAATGGAGAACTAATAATATAAATTTTTATCGATATCAAAGTAAGATTATTATAATTAATATATAGTTATTATATGTTAGTTATATTAATATATAACAATGATAAGAAAGTTTTGTAAATGCGCTTCCACTTTAATGGTAAGTGTATTTATATATATGTATATTACATTAATATATAAGCTTATATAATATATTTTGATTATATTTCAGAAGTCGGATTTCTCATTGTTTTACTTGTATAAACAGTGGATGAGTACTGAGACTTGGGAATAAAAACAATAAAACCTCATTGAGGATTTTATTTTTACCACTTGTTTCAAGGAATCAGGAATAGAGCAGAATATGGGTTTCTTTAAAGAATTTCTTGAGTCCGCTATTAAAAAACATGTTTTTTGTGAATATTTATCGAACAGATTTTAATAAAGCCAATTCAAAACTAATTAATAATAATATTTATTTTTTAGTTCTGCTTTTACAAATTTAAACAAAGATAATTTATTTTCTTTAAGTTTTATATAATGTATAATTTACAACAAATAAATTAAAAAACATATTTATGCTTATCTTAAAATAAAAATAATAATTTCTTAAATGAGTTCGTAATGATTTTAAATAAATTTTTGTTTTTGTTAAGCAATTAATATAACAATTACATAGCAGTATTTTGAAATAATTGAGTATCAGTTTAGTAGGAGTGGGAATTTGTTTTTGATTTTAATTATTTCGATAAATTTTTTAATAAATTAACTTCTTCAGCAAAAATATTTTTTTTTATTTCGAGCTTGATCAATTTAATTCTTTATAACAAGATCGAAATTTTATAAAAACAATTATTAATATACTTACATATTTTATTAAATTGAGAAGACAAAAATTAATTAAATTTAGAAAAAATTGCCGCCTTTTTTAAAATATATTAATATATATATAGTATTCTTTTAATATTTTATTTCGAATACAAATATTAATAAAATTTGTATTTGCATAAAAATCACTTAGTTACTGAGCACTGGAACTTTTTTTATTGAATTTGTTTTAAATGAACTTAAGTTTTTTTGAAGTCAATTTTTTTGCTATTGTTTAACTTTTTTGGTAAAATTTTTAATTGAAATTTTTTCACAATGAAATATTTTTAACAAAAACAAATTCTTGCATAAAAATTTTTTTTTCACTTTCAAGTTTTTTATTAATTTAAATATTTTTAAATTCTTTTAAATTTTTAAATCCTACAATTTATTTATTTTTATTATTATTAAATTGCACTGTTTTCTTTGTTATGATTTTTTGCCGCTTTTGTTTTGTTTGATATTCGCACTTTTCCTGCTTCTGCTTTACGTTTTACACCAGAAGTGGCATAGACGATTTAACTCAAAAGACTGAAACTTTTTTCTTTTTTTTTTTTTTTTTTTTTTTGCAGTAGGTGGAAAGCATCAAAAGCCACAGTGTGAGACTTGAACCCACTAAAACCACCTCTTAGGAATGCATAGAGAATAGATTCCAAGCAAGGGACCGTGAAGGTCCAGGACTAGGAACCCCATTCCAGTTTCAACGATTGGAGTGAAAACAATTACTAGTAAGGCTTAACATTTACAATAGTAAATATATCTAAGCCATGAAATTTGAAGAATGAAAACGGTGAGACGGAATACTACTTAAATTGAGTTTGAGGAGGCTATTTATAAGTACACACGTTGAAGGGGATTACTGTAACCACGGTTGTAAAACGGGATTACAGGGGGAGATTGGGCAATGTCGTCCAGGAGGAGGGATAGGAACTGGGGAGGTTTATGCCTCATAGCGAGTAACAGATCAGTTGGTAGCTGATCAGATCTCAGAACGTCGGGGGGGAGGTTATGGGCCCTAGTAAAGTATCGACGAGCTTGGGACAATAGATAATCGTCAAGCCGCTCGATATTGGCGGATTTGTAAACAAAATTTATACGGTGATGTTTGCCATTAGGCTTGCGCTTGTAATTTATACAGTCGCGGAGAATTTTTCTTTCTAACGCACGTAGGCGTTCCATTTGAGCCGAGGAGATGCCTGACCAGATGGGAAAGGAGTAGGTGGAAAGAGGGCGAATGAGTTGTTTATAGCACAAGAGTTTTGCTTGAATATTTAGCTGGTTGTGGCGTCTTAACGCATTTTTAAGGCTCATATGGCGGAAGGACACATTCTTGACAATATAATCGATGTGGGGAATGAAGTTATGTTTGGGAGAGAACATAACTCCAAGGTACTTAAACTTGTCAACAAGTTTAATGGGGGTCCCATTAAGTTTAAGCTTAATGTTAGAGGGGTTATAACTGCTTGGACGATTTCGTGCATAGCCAGTGAAGGCAATGGCAGAGACTTTGAGGGGGTTTAATTTGAGCTTCCACTTATGGTAAAAGCAAGAAAGATTTCCTAAATGCTGGTTTAAGGAGTTAGAGACCCTGGGAGTATAAGACGATTTGGAGTATATTAGACAGTCATCTGCAAAGCAGAGCTGCTTGACATTTGGGGGAGGGATAGGAATGTCTGAAGTGTAGATGTTAAAGAGTATGGGACCAAGTACAGAACCCTGAGGGACACCAGCTGCTACAAGGAATTCCCTAGAAAGGCTAGAACCAACACGAACCATAAATTTTCTTCCTGACACAAATTGGTAGACAATGCTACAAAGGAGCGGGGGGAAATTGTATTGGTGGAGCTTGTAGACAAGGCCTTCAATCCAAACAGTATCAAAAGCTTTCTCAATATCTAGGCTCACAGCCACGGTGGGTTGAGAGTTATAGAGACCTACACAGATATCACTTTGGAAAATACTAAGCGCGTCTGTGGTTGAGGTTTTGTTACGAAAACCAAATTGGAAGTTCGGGAGAAGTCGTTTTTCTGTTATGTGGGACTTAAGTTGACTAGCAATGAATGATTCATAAAGTTTACTTAGTGAGCTAAGTAAGGAAATGGGACGGTAGCTTGAGGGGAGAGTATGAGGCTTACCGCTTTTATGGACAGGTATGACAATGGCTCTCTTCCAAGGCCTGGGAAAGTGACCAATGTTGTAAGAGTGATTAAAGATAATCGCACATGTGCAAAAAAAGAGAGGAGACAGATTTCGCATAGCGTGGTTGGAGATTCTATCCAGTCCAGAAGATTTTTTAGGTCTTTTTGACTTAAGGATGGTGAAGAGACCTGATGGAGTAATGAACCCGTTTGGGTCAAGAGTATTAGCACTGTTGGCTGGGTAGCTGGTGCTGAAGTTAGTAATGCTTTGTCCGAAGTTTTCGTAATGGTCTCGGACAAAATTGCAGACCGTTGTATTGAAATTTGGATTTCCATCACCGAGGGAGACCTTATGATAAAGCTCAAAGGTTTCGCCAAATATATTGGCTTTGGTTGAGTCATCAGAAAAACTTCTGTTATTGATGGTGATGTCAGGAGTGACTTTTTTAATGCCACAGATCTGCTTAACTTTTTTGAAGACATCAGAGTCGCATTTAGCAGAACGAACTAAGGCATTGAAATGATTATTTCTAGCCAACTTGATCCTTTGGGTAAGGATATTATCAAGAGTGGAAATTATAGCTCGCATGAGCTGAAATCGAGGAGAGTTAGTTTGCCTGAGGCGATATAGCCTACGGCGAAGAACTTTGCGACGTTGGATTAGATCAACAGTAAGAGGATCAAGAGGAACCTGGTGGCACTTTTTAAGAAGGGTCAGTGGGACATGCTCTTCGATAGTTGCAGAAAGAATGCTCTCAAGTTGTGAAGTGACACAGTCAATTTCATTAGGTGATAGGTTCCTATTTACAGGAAGGTCAAGGGAGGAAATCATTCTGTCAAGAGTGGAATTGAAGCTGTCCCAGCAGGTGGCAGCGAAATTTAAATACGTACGAGGGGCAGATAGGAGGGCTCTACAGCCTGTGAGAGGTAAAACAACAGCCTGATGGTCAGCAACGCCATCAACGACTGAAGTATTTCCAATCATGTCGGAGAGACAGTTGTCAGTGAAGAAAAAGTCGAGTGTCGCATTGAAGCGTGTTGGCTCGTTGGGGGCAACAAGATTAATATTGAGGTTAATACAATTGTTTATATACCAGTTGTATAATCTGGTACCATTAATGCAGTTTTGAGCGTTATTCCAAAAGTAGTGTTTACTATTGAAGTCACCTCCAATAACAAATGGATTTGAAGAAAGGTTTATTAATTTAGTGAGGTCATTAGGGTCAATAGATTGGGATATAGAGGGCGTGTAATACACGCAGAATAAATCAAGATTAAAGTTATTTTCGAGGAGAAGAGTGATACCGCAAGCTTCAAATGAGGAGAGTTGAGGAATACGAAGTTCGGAAAAAGCGTATGTTGCCTTAAGAAGGATTGCAACCCCTCCACCAGGACCAACCCTATCGAAACGGACGACATTGTAACCAGAGAAAGTAAGAGTGAAACCAGGATTGATTCTGGTTTCAACAGCAAGGAGAACATCAGGCTTACTATGCGTAAGAAAGTTTTGAAAAACTTCACGCTTAAGCTCTGAGCGGAGAGAGTTTACGTTTATAAGAATAATCTTAAGATTATTCATATAAAACGAACTCAAATACTTTACGAGTGAGGAAGGCCTTACGCTCTACTTGTGAGGTGAGAGTGGAAAATTGTTGCTTAATACTTAAAGCAAACGAAAACAATGATTCAATATCAGGCATATGAGAGCCAATATTTGCGCCTGAAGTGCCAGAGGATTTATGAGAGCTATTAATTGGAGCAGGGTGGACAATTTTTTTTGGATTGAGAGGCTGAGCAGCGGACGCAGAGGACGCAACAGTGCGCGGAGGAGCACTAGAAATCGCAGCCATAGAAGCAAAAGAGGAACCAGGCTTGACAAAATTAGTCGGAAGACGGTTAGGGGTTTCAGCCGTTGAGGCTTTAGATTTGGCATTGCGAGAAGCACGAAGCTCCTTAAATTTAGAGCACCTGTAATTTGCTGGGTGGCCAGTCTGACCACAGTTACAGCATTTGGGAAGGGTCTCCGGGATTTGTTGCTTTGTTACTGGATCAAAGGCTTTAGGCGGAAGGGTGCAAGCCCCTTTAGAATGCGAGCCACCACAACGGACGCAACGAGAGGGAAAGTTGCAGAATTTGGCGGTATGGAAGTACCGCTGGCAGTTTGAGCACTGAGGCGCTTCAAGATGAGCTTTGCGCTCAAATTTAACAATAAGATTTAATGATGGAAGCTTGGTGATGCTAAGCAGCATAAGAAGGTCCATATTAGGGGCTGGGTGAAGTTCCCAAATTGTGGAGTTATATCTCTCAGGATTCTTAGCTATGAAGCGCCCTGGAGGCCTAAATTTAGCAACACGAGTGAAGCTGAACTGAGGTAAATCCGTAGCTAATGCTGCCTTGAGATCTTCCTCATCAAATGAGGAAGGGAAATTTTTCAAAAGAACAGGGGTTATCTTGTCTTCTGAAGGAATGGGAGCGAAACTCGGAATTTTGAGGTCTTTAAGGACCGCGTTTATTTTGTAAAATGTATCTTTACATTTAGTAAGGATACGAAAAGTTTTACCATTAATGGCTTTGAACTCGTATGCAGAGTTGGGAAGAGCAGCTTTGATGCTGCTGCGAAGTTCTTTGATATTAACATCACGAACAGTGATAGCTGGGGGAGTTTTGCCACTAGTTGGCATACTTGAAGGGAGAGGAATGGCCGTGTTGCCACTATCTTTGGCAGCCGCTGGCAAAGGGCGCGAGGAAGTAAGACGAACGGCAGATGTCGTAGTAGTATGAATGGGAGCATTAGTTAAAATACCATTAGATTTGGGCACTGGAAGAGCTGGGAAATTTGCTGCGAAAGCAGCATCAGAAGAGGCGGGAGTGGCTGTAGTAGCCGATAGGCTAGATGGAGTACT